AAGGAAACTCCGGCAGTATTTTCAGTCTCACCCTATTGTGGTGCTCACTAATCAACCACTTAGGCATATACTTCAGAAGCCGGACGTATCAGGAAGACTGATGAAATGGGCAATCGAGCTTGGGGAATTTGACATAGAATTCAAACCACGTCCATCTATCAAAGCTCAAGCTCTAGCCGACTTCATTGCAGAACTAACCCCCAGGCCTCGGGGGCCAGGTAATAACTCGAGCATGAGCACTAATTTGGACACTTGGCAAATATTTGTGGATGGAGCATCGAACTCCTCGGGCTCGGGCGCAGGGGTCATCATCATCAGCCCTGACAAACAAACGGAGATCCAATGCGCTCTCAGGTTCGAGTTTGAAGCAACCAACAACGAGGCCGAGTATGAGGCCGTCGTTATTGCTCTTGAGCTAGCCCTTTGCCTAGAGCTCGAGTTCGTAAAGGTATTCAGCGATTCACAGCTAGTGGTCGGACAGATTGAAGGATCATTTGAAAGGAAGGAGGAGAAAATGAGTTTGTACTGTATGAAGGTTCAGGATCTTCAGCGAAAATTCAAGAGCTGTGAAATTACAAAAATTGCTCGAAAGGACAACGGAAAAGCCGATGCATTATCCAGGCTTATGTTCATGGGGGTAGACGGCCTTGATAGAACGGTTCACATTAAAATCATCACAGAACCCAGCATTAGTCAAATCCTCGACATCATGGACATTGACAACGAACCATCCTGGATGGACCCGATCATAGAATTCATTACAAACGGAAGTCTACCCAGCGATGCCAGGTTGGCCAGAAGCATCAGAGCCCGAGCTCCTAGGTACTGCATGATCAGCGGTGTCCATTTCCGCAGAAGTATTACTCTTCCGTACCTAAGGTGTCTCAGGCCATTAGAATCATCCCAGGCCCTTGCTGAAGTTCATGAAGGTGTGTGCGGGAATCATCAAGGAGCCAGGGCCTTGGCCTTTAAACTCGTACGATATGGATACTACTGGCCAACTATGAAAAAAGACGCCTCAGAATATGTTAAAAATTGTGATAAGTGCCAGAGGTTTGGCAATGTTATCCACTCACCAGCCGAAGACCTCACCAACATTAACTGTTCGGCCCCGTTTGAACAATGGGGAGTTGACATCCTCGGCCCCTTTCCTGTGGCAAGAGGTCAATTAAAGTTTGTTGCTGTAGCAGTAGAGTAATTCACAAAATGGGTAGAGGCCGGACCTCTCGCCACAATATCGGAGCCCAAGCTAAGAGCCTTCACTTGGAGGTCTATCATTTGCAGGTTTGGGATACCAAAGGTCCTCATCACCGACAATGGCAGGCAATTTGACAACCAACAGTTTAAAAACTTTTGCTCAAACCTTGGGATTGATCACCGTCTGACATCAGTTTCGCATCCTCAGAGCAACGGTCTGGCCGAAGTAACAAATCGAATCATATTGCAAGACCTCCGAACAAGAATAAGCGATGCTAGGGGTTCTTGGTCCGACGAGCTGCCTTCTATACTTTGGACGTACAGAACAACTCATAGGACAACCACAGGAGAAACCCCTTTTATGTTAGCCTATGGCGTTGAAGCAATGGTCCCAGTGGAAATTAGACTGCCAAGCCATAGGAGGCTCGTGCCAGAAACCTCGGAGCATACAACTGAACATCTTGATCTCTTGGAAGAAGTGCGAAAGCAAGCCGCTATAAAAGTGGCCTCTTACCAAACTAGGACAGCAAAACATTTTAATAGCAAAGTCAAGGCTCGGAGGTTCAGAGCTGGCGATTTGGTCTTGAGGAGGGCCGAAGCAGCAGGCCACCCCCCAGGGAAGCTCGGGCCCATCTGGGAAGGGCCCTTTGAGGTCATACGACAGGTTCGCAAAGGAGCATACAGCCTAAGAGACACTTCGGGTAGACCTCTTCCGAGGCCCTGGAATGCCGACAATCTAAAAGTATATTACAAGTAAAATTCCCGACGCCTTTTAGGAGATTTTCTTTTTCTGCATTTTATTTCTAGTTTAGCGGGCCTGCGTGCCCATGCATGTTTTCTGTTCTCTTTTGTAATGAACTACGTTCGGCTTGATCCCGTTTGGGTACGTAGGCAGCTTGGGTACAATATAAATCCAAGTCCAGTCCGAAAAATTAGTAAATTCAAGCTTCAGGTATGACCGCCCTTCAGCAAAAAGCCTTGCCCCAGGCAAGCACTCAGAAAAGCCTTGCCCCGCGCAAGCACTCAGAAAAGCCTTGCCTCGCGCAAGCACATCAAAAAGCCTTGCCCAGGCAAGCACTCAAAAAGCCTTGCCCCGCGCAAGTACTCAGAAAAGCCTTGCCCCAGGCAAGCACTCAGAAAAGTCTTGCCCCGCGCAAGCACTCAGAAAAGCCTTGCCCCGCGCAAGCACATCAAAAAGCCTTGCCCCAGGCAAGCACTCAGAAAAGCCTTGCCCCGCGCAAGCACATCAAAAAGCCTTGCCCCAGGCAAGCACTCAAAAAGCCTTGCCCCGCGCAAGCACTCAGAAAAGCCTTGCCCCGCGCAAACACATCAAAGAGCCTTGCCCCAGGCAAGCACTCAGAAAAGCATTGCCCCGCGCAAGCACTCAGAAAAGCCTTGCCCCGCGCAAGCACATCAAAAAGCCTTGCCCCAGGCAAGCACTCAGAAAAGCCTTGCCCCAGGCAAGCACTCAGAAAAGCCTTGCCCCGCGCAAGCACTCAGAAGAGCCTTGCCCCGCGCAAGCACATCAAAGAGCCTTGCCCCAGGCAAGCACTCAAAAAGCCTTGCCCCGCGCAAGCACATCAAAAAGCCTTGCCCTGCGCAAGCACAAAAGGCCTTGATCATATACTCAAGTGTAAAACATTATAGTATCGCCCAGGGACATACAAAAATCCCACATCATTTTGGACACCCTTGAGAATCTCACATTACAACTTTTCAAAGTTAGTGTGCTTGAGGATTACAGCCCTCGAGGATTTCACAACCCTACTTTTTAAAGTTAGTGTGCTCGAGGATTACAGTCCTCGAGGAAATCACAACCCAACATTTTAAAGTAGTGTGCTCGAGGATTACAGTCCTCGAGAATGTCACTCATTTTTAAAAAAGTTTAGTGTGCTTGGGATTACAGTCCTCGAGAATGGCCTCATTTTTTAAGATTAATTGTGCTCGAGGTTTACAGTCCTCGAGAATGTCACTCAATTTTAAAAAGTTTAGTGTGCTCGGGATTACAGTCCTCGAGAATGGCCTCATTTTTTAAGATTAATTGTGCTCGAGGTTTACTGTCCTCGAGAATGTCACTCAATTTTAAAAGTTTAGTTGTGCTCGGGATTACAGTCCTCGAGAACGGCCTCATTTTTTAAGGTTAATTATGCTCGAGATTTACGGTCCTCGAGAATGTCACATCATATTTTTTATTTGTGCTCGAGAATGTTCGTCTCACCTTTTAATCCCTATCCTCAAGTAAACACTTCAATATCGCGTGAGCAGTAAGTTTCGAATTTGTTTGCTCGATTGTATGGAGTCCAAGGGGTCGAGATAAATAGTTCGAATAAATTAACTAAACATACATAATCCTCGATCAATTTACATTGTCAAAATTAAACCAAAAAATTACAAAGGATTGGGGTGGGGAAGTCATCCAATGTGGCCAAGAGGAGGGTCGAGGTTGCTAATGTCGATCTCAACGTCGTCCTCAAGACCATCCTCAACATCTCCACCCGATCCTCCTCCATCTTCCGAACCCGAGAGCTCCAATGTATCAGCAATGGAAGGCACCGTCTTCAGGTCGTCTGGAGTGACGTCGGGCAACTTCTGCCTGAGAAAGGCCCGGGCTTCTTTCAGAGCATGGAAGTACGCCCCCGACGCATACTCCCCTTTTATCTTGTCGCAGTCCTCGGAGGTTTTAAACTCCTCCCAAGCCCTCTCCCTGACAGCCTCGAGCTCGCGCCCGAAATCCTCTGTCTTCTGGATGAGCTCGAGCCTCGCCCCCTCGACCTCATCCTTTGCTGCAACCAAGTCATCACTGGCCTTCGCAGCCTCCCTCCTCGCGTCATCACGCTCCTTCAGTAAAACCTCGATCTGGGCCTCGAGGTCTTGAATCCTGCTGTCCTTAGAGGCCATGGACGTCTCGACCCCAGCTGCCCTCTTGGCCTCCTCGAGCCCTTGCAGAGAGAGTCCTCGAGCTATACTCAACATCTGGAAAAAAATGAAGAAAATGTCAAGTGTTAAGCTCGACCAATAAACTCGAGGTTAAAGTCAAAAGTTCGAAGATTACCTTCACTGTAAGACCCTCGAGGACCTTCATCCCATCCTCGAGCTTGACCTTCTCTTTGTATTTGTTTACAAGCTCAGGAGCGAGGTGACAAGTCCCAAAGTCCCCAGTGAGAGACGGCTCATCCTCGAGGTCAACCACTTCAGAAGGAGGCCGAGGAGTGACGACCCGAGGAGTCGGAGATCTGAGGTTCGGTTGCAGAGGGGTCGAGACTTCTGGATGTCCTCGAGAAGTTTCGCCAGGCCCCCTCGCACCCTCAGGACCCCCCTCGAGGCCTCTTCTTGCTTTTCTTCCTCGAGGGCTGCCCCTGTGGAGGGGCGCCTCCCCTTGTGCTAACAAAGTTTCGGAGAGCCCGAGGATCAAAAGACATACCGGCAAATATTTACAAACATTTTAGAACGAGCAACAAGGTCAGGGTATCTTTCAAAAAATAACAATAAAGGAACATCCCTACCCTCGACGCCTTTAATATCTGCCAGGTCTAAAACCTCTTCCCCAATCTCCTTCATCGTCGAGAAAAGGGGGCTGAGCCCGACCAGCATCCTCCTATGCTCTTCCAAAACATCCGGATACACCTGGCCCTCACAGAACTTCTCGGCGTCGGGGATTCCCCAATCAGGCCAGAAAGGAAGATCGGGTTCTGGGGCTACCACATAAAACCACCCCGCCCTCCACCCCTTTAAAGAGCTCGCCATCCTCGGGACTTTAAAGCCCCCAGTCGTCGAGAGATAGCCAAAACACGTGTATCGAGGATGCTTCTTAAGCTCGAACACTAATTTGCTGAGGCTAACGTTGGGCTCGATACCTAAGTATCTACATGCTATAAAAAAGTAAACAAGCATCCTCCAGGCGTTGGGCACTAATTGCCCCGGGCACATGGAGTGCTCGACTAATAGAGCAATAAAGAAGGGGTGAAGGGGCCACCTAAAGCCAGCCTTAAGGGTCTCCCTAAAAATAACAAACTCCCCTCGTCGTGCTTGAATAATCCTATCCTCGGGGTCAGGAAATCTAACATCACAATTAGGCATTATACCATATTCCCTAGCCGCAGCTATGACTGAGTGCTCTTTAAGCCTACAGGGTTCGTTAGGATACTCAAAAACCATATTGACCTGGGCCTCGGGAGTAGCCTCTAGGGGAATAGCCGTCGGTATTATCGAGGTCCCTACGTCCTCCTCACTACTACTAGAACTGCTAGAAGATTCTCGACCCTCACTACTCGACATTACTTAACAAACTTAAAGACCTAGCTTATGAATAACTTAAAGTCTCGAGCCTTACCTGGAGTTCCCGACGACTTGAGAAGTTCCCAAAGTATTTCTCTCGAGCACGACCTCTCAGAGCTCTGATTTACAGTGGGTAAAAGTGAAAAATGAAGGTAAGAACAATAGTATTTATAGGTGAAAATGATGGGAGGTCAAAGGTCGCTATCTACGACCGTCCACAGAGACACGTGTCACAAATCCAAGCCACTCTCTGCAACGGTAATATCTTGACCTATATCATCAGCCGTCACTTCTCGATGAATGTTCGAGAAATGACATAACCCATGTGCACCCCATCCTAAGAGCACAATCTCTAGGACGAGTGCACGGGGGCCAGTGACTATGCCAATATCGATATACCCCGAGGAGTGTATCCCGAGGACTCAATCTATACCCCACCTCATTTCTCTTCTTCGGTCCTCGGGGTCATCTAAGTCCTCGAGATACCTCGAGGACACATTTACATTCCCTCAATGTCCTCGAGAATAGTCCTCGAGACATACACCACCAACATACCTCCTAAGACCTGGGTACCTAACTAACAAACCTAAACACCCAAGGATTCTACATCAACCCTAACACCACTTGTCAAACAATTCCATTACAAGTAGGACATTCTTTATAATAGAAATTCCCTTGGATAAAAACATCCAACCAACACAATCCTACTAGGAGTACACTACCTACTCCTATAAAAGCAGAACCTTGGGTCATTATTCAGGTACGTTTTACATTGTTTTTCAGCACATAGCCTCACGCATATATTTCCCTTTCTGACTTGAGCATCGGAGGGGCGACAAGAACACACCTCGTTGCCTTTGTTTCAGGTATCGGAAGATCACGTTCGTGCTCCTCACCAGTCATCAAGCTCGGAAAATCAGCAGGTACGATTTTTGGTAGCATCAAGGGTTTTTCTTATTTTTTATTATTTTTATATTTTTTAAATTGTAACGAGCTCTAATCTCCGAACTCCAAACGCGACTACAGGAAGTGACACGATAAACGATGTCATTCGAAAAATGACACTTCAGTTTATGCAAGTATTTTCCTCAATGATGTATTAATGGGAGCTAATACATGTTCAAGTACTTGATTTACAGTAAAATAGCTCTTAAATTTTGTATTGATTTAACAGGATTGGATGCAGGGTTGCTAGAGAAACACACGTGCAGAACAATGAATGAAATAATTGAAATGTCCCTTTTTGGCTGCTACTATGAATACCTTTTCTTGGACTGAACACGAGCATTTGTTATCTTTGTTGTAGGCAAACTTTTATCGCTCTAAGTTTTTCAACAACAAATTCAGCATTTGTTCCAATCATATTTGGGATCAGACACGTGATTATCTTTTTTGGCATCCCTTTAGGTTCATTACTAGATTTAATGAAAGATTCAAAGAAAACAAATCCTTGAAAATCTTCCAAATACTGTTAAGATGACTGTAGTGCTGATAGGGCCGTACCTGTGCTTCGCGGGGCCTGATGTGAACTTTGGAATTTGGACCCTAGGCCCTGAGTCAGAGCAAACAATCACTTTTAAAAAAATAAAAAATAAAAAATTAGAAGTTTACGGAATTAAATTTGTTAATTTAAATCAACAATAAAACAACAAATAAATTTTTCGGTGTTCCTTTCTTCTCTTCTTATTAAAGTATTTATTCGTTTCTTTTGAACATATGAGTATAGTGGGTTTTCTTTTAAAAAAAAAGGGGGGTAAAAAGTAAAAAATTGGCCCTCTAAAATTCTGGGCTTGAGGCGGAGGCCTCTTGGACCTACCATCAGGTCCGGCTCTGAGTGCTGACTACATAATATAAGGCTAACATAATACAAGGCGACTGTAGTGCCGATTACATAAACATGGAGCAAGGACATCGAATTGAAATATGTACGACAAAAGCCTTTGACTAGGTCTCGTAGTTGGGACATATTCTTTTTTCTTGTGAATAGTTATGTAATAGATATCTCCGTGTCTTCACCTTCAGATATTTAAATAATTCTATTCAACATACACGACAAATCGTCTATTGGATCTTTACGTTCCCCACTAGCCTCACCATCCAATTTCCATCAGAAATGACCACAATCTCTAGTACAGTAGCCCTTTTTCTACCTCCATACGGCTCTCGAATCCATCTCCTTATTTTGGATTGTTATATATTTGTGGTATAAATATAAAATGTGAAAGAAATAATCAAATTAGATAAAGTGCCAAAGTGGTGGAAAATGTAACATTTGTGTGGGACGTTAGGGGTTCGAGTCACTCCCCACGCAGCTATTAAAATGTCTTGATTGGGGCCTTGGGCTTTCTTGACTAAAATAAATATTTTTTTTCTTTATTATTTAATGGGTAAAACTAGCCAGTATTTTCTGACTGTTTGTTTTTGTAACAACCCGCTAACAGCCATTAAAACACCCATTACTCAGTGATTAAAATTTTGCATTAATATGGTGAAGACTGTTACTACCATCTTGCCTATATAAACCCATATCCTGTTTTGGAAAAAGATACACAAAAATACAATAGAAAAATCATCTTGCATCAACCCTCCTTTTCATATTCTGAATTTCTTATATACGGGTTTTACATTTATTCTGGAGTACAATTGAGAGTTCTAGAAAAATCATTCGTGATTGCTGTACAAGTGGTTTACGATCGTTGTATTCTATGAGTGATTGTCCACGGAGGTCGCAGCAATTATTCTAGGAGTGATTGTCCACGGAGGTCGCAGCAATTATTGGCGGGCAATTTCACTTTAGGACATCGTGCTGTCACGAGACTCGATCGGACGATAAGTTTTATATTTCTGCATTATATTGTTTAGATCACTACTGCAGCTAATTAATTTTTCCCAACAATCTAAAGTGAAATTTTTTTATAATTAGTTGCCATGTCTGCTGTAGAGATATCTGTTCCTAAGTATTCTGAAAAACCTGAGTTGTTTGATGGAAAGAATTTTAAGAGATGGCAAATGAAACTGCGATTTTATTTGACAACACTTAAAGTCGTTGATGCTATTGAATCAGATAAACCCGATTTTGTAATTGCTGATAATCCCACTGATAAGGAAATAGAGGATTTAGCTAATTGGGAACATAAGGATTATATGTGCAGGAATTATATTCTGAATTGTTTGACTTTAGATCTGTATGATGATTACTACTCCTGTAAATCTGCAAAAGAGTTATGGAATTCATTAGAAAAGAAATATGTTACAGAAGATGCTGGAACCAAGAAATTTGTTGTGGGAAAGTTTTTAGATTTTAAAATGAATGATGTTAGAACTGTGGTTAGTCAGGTTGAAGAATTGCAGATTATAATTCACGAAATTATTGCTAAAGGATATAAAATCTGTGAGGGCTTTCAAGTGTCATCTATAATTGAAAAATTGCCACCTACTTGGAAAGAGTATAAAAATAGTTTGAAGTATAAGAGAAAAGAAATGTCATTAGAGGATCTGATTATCAGGATTAGAATCGAGGAAGACAATAGAATGGCAGAACGTAAGGAAAGGCCAGATTTTGATACCAAGGCTAATCTTATTGAAGGAAGTTCTGGGACTAAGAAACCAATTGGAAATTTTACAAGGGGTTAGAACTTTAAAGGCAGAAATAAGGGAAAACAATTTGTAGGAAAGAACAATCGGTCTAAGCCCCAATTTAAAAATAAAATTGTTGGTGACTGTTTTGTTTGTAGTAAACCATGTCACTTTGCAAAGGATTGCAGAAATAGGAAAGGAAAAGCTATGAAACATCAGGCACATGTGGTAGAGGATGAGAATTT